AAAAAGTGAGGTAGGAAAACATCTATGATTACGTAAAAAAAAAGCAAACTGCAATCTTGCAATGACGATCCAAACATTTTTATGGAGGAGAAATTTTTCATGTAATTTAAAACTTGAATTATTCAAGTTTTTTGACAAAATAGTTAGATTTTTAAATTTGAATTAATTGCTAGAAATTTAGTTCATGAATATGAATGGCGATAAATTAAATACAATAAATACCCGAATTTTCTGTAACCACGCGGTTGCAGATTACTGTAATTAATTTATTATCCTTAAACAAACTTTCAATTTACTTTAAAGAGGAAATGTTATACTCTGACTTCTTCATAATGGAACTGAATGCTTTTGAAATAAAATATATTTAACTTTCCTCAAACAATTTAAAGCATTAGGGTTTTTGATAACATACATTTATCTTCTCAAAATAAATTTCTAAAATATCGCATATTCCAATGAAGCGTAACTCAGCGGAGAAAGAAGATCGGAATAAGGTCAGAGAGTGAAGCTTTTTCTGTGTATTAAAAATACTTCATTTTCTTTTGGTTTTAGGTTTTCTTAACCTATTATTCTACCTGATAGCCTAATATTTAACTTTATTTTATTATTATTTTTTTTAAATATCTGGAAGCAAGTGTTACTTTTTCATTACTCGAAATTCGCATTCTAACAAAACAAAAGTATTGTTCTCATTCCACGTGGTATAACATAATTTTTTAGTCATTCAACGATGGCTCCAGTATTCTGATTTATCAGTTCCACTTTAATTATCGAATCTATGTTCTGGATTCAGTATGGGTTGGTTTATTTTATTATGGCAAAGCACTCGAGGAATATCTGCTTAGAGAAAGGGGTGCCTTCGTAGAGGACTTTTTAAGTCAATCTCTCTTGTATACACGTTACACATGAGGAAAGCAACGAAAACACCCATACAGCCCTTTCGCCGGGATTCGCAGCCTAGCCTAACAACCTGTGTTCAGTGACTTTACCGCTCGGCCGCTGGGGAGCTCTGAACTCAGTATGAATCATATGAAATAAGAATGCGTTTGCATCTAAGGCAACTACCAGTAAACATTTTGCAATGAATAAGCACCTCTCATCATTAAAAAACCATTTTTAGTTTTATAATCAAGAAAATGAGATGATACCACATGACAAGTTTCAACTATTAAGCTGAAGTCAGAAGAATCAGCTAGCACGTTGTTTCAGATGCAAGAAAAACACGCGAATATAAAATTTAAAATTAAATAATTTAATTTAAAAAACAAAACAGAAAAGCAACTTTCAATTTTTATTTGCAGTAGATTTAGAATAAAACTATCAATTTTAAGGGTGACGTTTCCCTTCTTCAATAGCAAATATTTCAGGCAATTCTTTTTTGCTCCTGAAGAAGAGGAACCTTGTGTCTCATTGTCCTCAAAATCTACCTCAAACTAGGATTGCTTTTTTGCTCAATTTTAAAATTCCTATGTATTTATTACTTTACTCTGTCTATATATTAAAACCTGGTATTAGTATTATTGCTTTAATATTGGTATTTTTGTCTGGCAAAAATAAAAATGAGGAATTGCGTAAGATGAGGCCTAAGATCTTTCAATTTTCTTTCATATTTTAAAAGTCCTTTACTCATAAGTAAAACAAATTTATTTGCCTAAAATCAATTTCACAATAATTTTAATAACGTTTTTCGACAAGTGTTATTTTATGATATTAATGTAATAAACAAAATACAGTTTAACACCTTATTATATGTGGAATTCAAAATTTCTTGAACAAACTTAACTTCTTGTGAGCAGTATCATCTGTGTTAAGATTAAAGTTTAAATATAATGACGAAGTTATAATAAAAATACTAGATTTCAATCCTTCTTATTTCATTTATAATTTATTTAAATTACAATCTTATTTTTCAAAAGGTAATTACTTTTAAGTATTTCACTAGTTCGTTTTTATGCCGTTTTATATTCGAAAAAGAACTATGGAAACAAATGCTAGATTTTTTCAAAATTCGAATTTTTTTTAAAAAAATTACTTTAATATTATCTTACAATACAGGTTTAGTTACATCATTTAGCAGCAGAAGTATTATATTTATTCATTTAATGACAAAATCCTCCGTGAGTCATTATACTATTCATTGAAGATTAAAGATTGCAAATTTTTCGTAGCTTACATTTTCTTTCATTTGTTAGCCCAAAGTGGCAATTTGCCCAGAAGGCTATTAATTTTGTTTTGGAATTTTGCGTTGGTTCACTATAAACAGCGTTTCACTTTTCAAATTGCCGCCACCAAATATTAGAGCCCTGCATTATATTTAAAGAAATTAAATAATGAAGAATCTGCATGAATGTATATATGTTTCTCACACTGTGAAAAAACAACGGTGCCTAGAAACATAAAATTTTGAAGGACATAGTCCTCCACTCGCATATGGGCATCTGAAAGCCAAGATTTGGAATCTGGAATTTGTTTTACTAGCTATTTCCTATTTTGTAAAACTTTAACAGATTTTGATTGTACTGAATAAAATATTTTTATCTCCAGCGAGCTAGGAAATTCTAAAGGTATGCTCTTTTCAAATTACTTTGTGATATTGCTTTGACTTTATGGTTTAAGTGTTTTTATGGTTTAAGTGCTAAGAACATGATATTTAATAAATAGAGGTAACACACAAAACGTTGAAAAAAAGTCCCTTTGGGCATAATATAAAATCAGAAAGCTTTCAGATTTTATTTATTTTGCTTGTTTGAAAGGCAATTAGATATTCACACTCTCTGTTTTTTCTAAATAAATTGAATTATGTTTCTGTTTACATGCAGAACAAGTGGATTCAAAAATGGCACACACTCTCTGTTTGACGTTTAGATATCCAGTTTTATTGTTTAATAGAAAGAATCCAGTTACTTTGTTTGATGTTAAAACACAAAGTAGACTGTATATAGAACTAGCAGTGAGTTAGCCCATTATAAAGGAGCTTATGTTTGTAAAATACGTAGGTTTGGCATGGAAGAGAAGTTGTAATTATCAGTTATTGTTAAGCAGAGACCATTAACACCTGCTGCAGGGGGGGGGAACCTGATATTGTGTGAAAATCACTGTGGCGTAAACCTTTTTATTTTTCTGTTCGCATTTACGAAAAAAAATTTATAAATGTTCTACTCATGTTGTTTGAACTTTTGTTTCCAAATCGGCAATTTTTTTTAATTTAAAAAAAATGATCAAGCAGCTTTCAGACTGATTCAATAATTCACTAATTTATTTGCAACGCGTCTTAAAAAGTTAAAAGAATTATTTTAGAAATATTTATTTTCCTCTAAATGATAATAAAATACATTTGAAGTATTGTAATGATTACGAAAAAATTCTGGAACCAGATTTATTTTAGATAACGCATGAAAATTTTCCCATCTAGATATTTAAAAACATTTGAGGATTTCCGAATTATATAGTCATTGCTCGTTTATACAATTATTATCATAGTCTAATAGTGTTTTAGGATTCTCTTAACATATTTTTCTCAGCACTTGAGAAAGAATTTAAAAATAAAATCTAACTAAAATTATAGCCTTTTATTGGAAATAAAACACTTAAGGTTCTATCTAAAACTAAGCTGACTAAATGCATGGTGCTCTATCAAGACCGTCCAAACTCTACACAGCCAGGTTCCTCATTTGGAAGACATATAAAAGCCCCCAAAATGAACTGTATGACCCATAGTTTTCGAGATAAATGCGAAAGAATACCATGCCAGAAATACCATGCCAGAAACAAAGGTATAATGGAGCTCTGACGGATATGACGTCATACTTTTATTTCGAAAATTTTGGATCGTAGAGGTATAGTTCTTAAGCATTTTTATGTATTCCAAGCGAGAAATTTGGCTGTACACAGTTTCAACTATCTTAGTGTGACACCTTGTATACACTAACCATTTGAAATACAGTTACTTTTGAAGTCCTACATATGTTATAAAACATTATTTGCAAGAGATAGTTAAAAATGGAAATATTTACTTTCCGCATTTACTAAGAGAAAATGTTAAAAATAAAAATGTATAGTGATAAAATATAATAAATGCAGAGTTATAAAGGCCAATACACCGAAAACTATGGAATAGTGACTTAATTTTTTTCTATAGAATTCGAACCAATCATCGACCAGATATTCAGCAGGAGTAATATAAAAGTACTCACTGATTCTCAGAACAGTTTTGAGTTTTTGCTATGTATGTGTTAAAGAATTTTCAAGGATAAACAAATTATTATTATGACAGCATCTCATGCAATTAACATTTATGGATAAGACCATAATAGTTTAGAATGCATAGCTGTGCATTAAAACATTTATTTGTCATCAAAATATTTAACGAAAACCATGAATTAAGATTTCAGTAACTGGATCTGCATACTAAATCTCACCACACTACAGCAATAGAACTGTTTAAAAGCTGTGAGATTAAATCTAGTGAATGTGCTTAAGAATATTATTGTACGGTAAACAGTTATTCCTGAAAGCATACCCCATAACAGTAAAATAAATATATAATGGTTACCCCTCACGAGGATAAAGAAAGAAACATAAACTTGTAAACGCAAAAGGAATATTTTCTAGTGTACTCAGTAGATGAACCTGCTTATTAAGTCCTAGCACAAATAACACTCTGTAACCATACATATTTTGAAAGGTAGTAAGATTAAAGAGATTAATATAATTACATTAATTAATTACAATTGAAACAGCAAGTATTTATAAAGGTAATACAGTACATAATAGTCAAATAAGTAAAAGGTAGAGAAATGTACATGCGTTTTGTTTGTAACTCAACGACATTTTTAATAGCATATAGTCGGCACTATCAGCCTCTCAAGAATGGAAGCCTACTGTACTACTGTAGGATTTGTTTACCTCTTCTGTTGGCAAAAGTCACACCTTCACATACAGAAAGTACCCGGCTACATTCATTCAATAATTTTGTCCTCAAACTAATAATAAAATCTTACCTTCATCTGAACCGTCTGGACAGTCTGTCCTTCCGTCTCGTACTTGAGCTAGATCTATACAAATAGATGGCGTTGTCCTGCAAGGAAACTGCGTCCTGAGATTGCAAGGACTCCTTGAAGAGCCTGAAAGGAGATTAAATAGCTTTTATTCTCACGAATTTCCGCAGAATATGCTTGGAAGAATAAATTACCATAAAGAAATTACTTATTTTTCATAAAAAATTATAACACTACATTTTCCATCAAATTTGTACGGTTAGATTACGATACTTGAAATTTGATTGTTAGAGAGCTTTAGCGTGCGCTCTACAAAATAGATACATTAAGCAAAATATTCTGGAAGCAACTAGAGCAGTTTGTGTAGCACTACAAACGGAGTTAAAGTATTTATCAACCATTTATAGCAAAATGCTCATTCTTAAAACATCTTGAGCTTCTTTGATGAATGAATAGCAGATCCTTGTCGAGCTGCAACCACCTTATTTGCTAAAATTATCTCTCTCTGATTCTGCTATTATCTCTTATCAACACGGTTCTATGTAATAAACTTTCTCAGACAACTGAAGACTAAGACAGATGAGACAGCAATTTATGATAGATACCAGATGAGATATTCTCGAAGTGCTTCAAGGAATGTCACAAGCGCTGAACAAGCACCGCATATTCCGGCGATAATAATTTTTAGGTACATTCAACGTATAATGCGCATTCTTTTCTTTACAAAGAAACGTGAAAGGTATATGTGCGATACTCTAATCTTTAGTCATTTTTACAAAGCGAGGCAGCGAACAATATGTTCGTGGAGGAAATGCTTGAGGGGGTAAATAATTTTGCAAAGACGGGGCGTTGTATTCAATGCAGATGTGCACAAGAATGTTATTCTAGTGTTTCAAGAAAAGAGGGAAATTATTTAAAAATGCTCTTCCGACCTGAACGAATTCGTTGAATCAACAGTTATACTTTTTTTTTTTTTTTTTTTTTTCCCTGTAGTCATTTGAAACCGTGATTTTGAAGTGAATATCGAAGATAACGAAGGAAAAGGAGACCAAATGCATCATATGCATCATGCCGGTCTAGAAATAGTGAGTGGATAACATGGAATAAAATTAAACATGGACATGGAACGGTAGATGATTAATTATTTATGGATCAGAATAACAGTGATGGTGAAGATGAAACAGAGTTCGATGATGTGCCTGAAGTTATAACGGAAAACGAATATGACGATACTTTTCATGTTATCAGATAAGGACATTTTTTAAGTTCGTAAAGAATGCCATTTCATCCTATTGAGACGATATGGCTGATAGCTTAACTCAATGCACAAATTACAAATGTTGCTCTGATTGTCTTAAATACATAAATAAATTATTTTGTTCTTTTATGACCATTTTGTTTTCTGTTTCTTCAGTTCTAGAAAAAATTAATTAATATTGTTATATTTATATAAAATAATTAATCTTCACTAGAAATTTCTGGAAAATCTAGAAGAAATAATAAAAATAACCATATTTACTTATAACTTGGTATTCTTGCGAAAGTTAATGATGGGAATCTCTTGTAAAACATCGAAGGTTGCAAGTCCTATACATAATGTCTAGTAGTTCATATTTGAAGTAGTCGGAAGCTATGTTTATCGCTTTCATTGAGCAATTTAGACCTAGGAAATAGAATTTAGCCAGAGATATTCCTGAAGAATGCATAGCAAATTCTTCCATAGAATAAAATAATGCTGAAATAAAAAACAAAGGTAAAATACTTCTTTGGCATTTCCCATGCAAGAGAATTAAAAATAAATCTTTTAACATCTCGTTCTATCGACTTAAGAAAACAAAAGAAAATACCCTTTACTGAAAATATAACAAGTGAAAGCTTTCTCGGATTTTATTATAAATTATAATAATGCTGAAATAAAAAACAAAGGTAAAATACTTCTTTGGCATTTCCCATGCAAGAGAATTAAAAATAAATCTTTTAACATCTCGTTCTATCGACTTAAGAAAACAAAAGAAAATACCCTTTACTGAAAATATAACAAGTGAAAGCTTTCTCGGATTTTATTGTGACCTGTTCACTTATGTATGAACTCCGATCCTTGTTTTTACTTTTTCCTCTTTACTAGAAGCTGAGTCAAAACAAAGGAACTCCCGCGCCGTGGGTAATTGCAAGGAGATCAAGTCCGTCTTGCACTTTCTCATGGTATTGAGCGAAAAGAGAGGCAAAAATCCATTGTTATCAGGGGGTTCACATCGTTCAAACCAGTTCCATCCCACGAAGATCAACCGCGGAAAATGATATCGTCTGCGGAAGGGTATGTGCATGTTGGCCAGAGTAAGGAACAAAAAATGTATTTGAAAATCACGTTTCATCCCTTTCATTTTACGATTCCTTTTGATAGTAGAAAGTTTGGGAGACTGACATTTTATTGAGGGGAATGATAGTTGCAAAACTTCTATTGCATCGTTTGTTCGCTGATGATGTTTGAAAAATAAATTATTCTGTTTCAACTATTGCGAACATTACTAATGTTCACAAAAGTAGTAGCACCTTTTTGCCCAACTGAACAGGCTAACTTAATGAATAACACTTAGATTCAAAAGGTAATCTGCCCACTCTGCACTGAGTTTGGCTCACATTACATGTATCTTCGTTTCGTTTTGGAAAATTCAAATTATGTGCTTCTTCGAACGAATGAAGAAAGCATATTCGTAAAACATTTTTTCACATTTCAGTTAAACAGCCAACAAGAAATGTGATGTTGGCTGGAATGTTTCGCAGAGGTTCCAGACTAAAATTCTTACTTAAATCAAAACAATAATTAGAGAAATAAAAGTCAAAATTTTAAACATTGTTTTCTCAATATTATCGTTCGGAAAGCCTCACATCTTGGTGATGATTGTTTCAGCCACTATGGCAATTGGAATTTCCGACAGTTATCTTGACAGATGTATTATTCCGCATTTTTTTTTTTGATGGCGTAGTAGAGATATCATAACATGTTTTTTAGTATTTCTAACCGGATCAAGGCCCACCGGCAGTCGAGTGGTAAAGTCACTGATTACTGGCAGTTCAATCCAGGATTCGATTCCCAGAGAATGGACTGGCTGCATTTGCGTTTTCGTGGTTTTCTTCATGTGCAACGTGAATACGAACTAGTTTTCTTTAGAAAGTTAGACGCATCCCTGTTAACATCCCACAAACTCATCCCTCTGTTAGGCAGACAGCCATTGACTGCTTTGCCTTTGTAGAGACATTAGGATTTTTTTGATGCTGGGAGACATGAAAAATGTGCAATGCCTTAGGCGGAACTCGAACCTGGACCTCTCGAATACGCGCCCAGAGTGTTGCTGTTACACCACGAAGGTAGGCAGAAAAGAGGAAGAAAATACTTTATACTTTAATTAAATAAACCAAATCTGATACGATCGAGGTAAACTCGAGTGCATTTTGTTTCATTATTTTATTTGAAACTAGTGATAGAAACAATAAATAGTTTATTTTAATTCTGATACCATTAGAGCCCCAAAACAAGAAAATGTGGTAAGATTTGCATTGCAAAATATCTTCGCATATAACTGAACAAACAGCACCCTTTGAGGAGGATAAGGATCATAAAAGCGCCTTTAATTTTCATGCATATGGTTTTCGTATGTATTTTGTTTTCTTGTGTAACGCAGGATAAGCTTAAAATATTCTGGAGTGCCAATCAAATTGAAAAAAAAAAATGTAGCGAATTTCGAATAAGGAATGCAACTAAACATATTGCTGTAAAATGCCTGTCGTGTCTGTATAAAGACTGAGTAATACCCGAATAAAACTGCATGCTCCGATCGGCAGAAATTCATCAGTAGTTTCGTGACATTTGTAGCAGCAAAAGCTGTCTTCTTAAGATTATCATATATCTATCTGAAAAAATTGTCTTGGCATGAATATGACACAGTATAGCAACTGCTCGTCTGTATCTATATTTTCCTTTGATACTTAACGCAGAGTATGTTAATGTTTTTAAATCTAAATCATTCAGATTAAGCAGCAAATTAATCTTTATTTGACATAGACTTCAAATCAACCCCCAAACTAATGCTGCTTTTCGGATAATTTAAAATTTTACTTGGCTTGTTTCTCTTCCATTTGATCTAAATCATTTATTTTTCGTAATTTTTACAATTCAAATACAAATTACAGTCTATTTTCTTGTTCTAATAATTTTTTATTGTCCCTCAATGGGTAGTTTATTCACAACAAAATTACTTTGGTATTATAAACGAAAGATTGAGAAACATAATTAAAATGATTTTGCATACACCAATAAGGAGATTAGGTACACATTTGTTTCATTAATTTGAAGCTGTATTTTAAAGTTCATGCAAAAAATTAATTTTAAAATTAAACATAACAGTGAATTCCAAAAAACCGTTTGTGTGATGGATGGTTTACATATTTTAGATACATTTTTTGGTTTACTTTATTATGGCAAGGTACACTAGGGTTATTTGTCTAGGGTAAGGGATGAATTCATGGAGGACTTTCCAAGGGACACTTTGCTTATATACACATTACACGTGGGGAAAACCACGAAAACGCCCATGAACGCCTTTTAAATTTAGTATTTAAAATATAATAAAATAATTATATAATAAATGTCTAAATTAATCTATTGAAGTACGCAAAATCATTTTATTGATATTTCATGATCTGTCGTTTATAATAATATAATAAATAAATTTTTTATTAACATATTTAAATTTTTAAAAAATCTGACGTGTGCACCACATGGCGTCCTCACACGGAATATTAAATTAGACGCGTTTTCCCTGCATTTCATTTAAACTTATTGACATGAATTAAATCTACTTTGTCGATACCGCATAAACCACAATAGAACAAATGCACTTTATAAAATTCACTACGTACGCGAGTCACTATTTCAAAGCGAGCAATGGCAACGTTATATAGAAAAACATTCTTATCTCCAGTGCGCGAGACTTCGTATCGGAAATTCTATAGATATGCTCAATTTAAAATTATATTACGATACTGCTCTTGAACTGAATTTTATGGTTTAAGTGCGAAGAACATGATATTTAATAAATAAAGGTAACCCACCAAATGTTAATAAAACG